AATAAATGTTGCGTCTGACTTTTGGGGTAGTATTTAAATATTAAAAATTATTAAAAATGAAATTTTTTAATAATAAATGCCACGTCTGTCTTTTAGGATGGCATTTTGTTATTAAAAATTAATAAAAAATTAATTTTTTTAATAATAAATGCCACCTTTGACTTTCAGAATGGCATTTTGTTATTAAAAATTAATAAAAATTAATTTTTAATAATAAATACTGTGTTTAACTTTCAGACTGCATTTTATTATTAAAAATTAAATTTTTTTAATAATAAATGTCGCGCATATGACTTCAGGGCAGCATTTTTTATTTCAAATCTAACAAATCAGATCTGAATCTAAATCCAAATCTGACGGATCGAATCTGAATCCAAATCTAAATCTGTTGGATTAAATCAAATCCAAATCTGAATTTGATTCAAATCTGATGGATTGAATCAAATCAAAATCTGGATCTGAATCTGATTTGAATCTGATAAATCCAATTCAATCTGATCTGTCAGATCCAGATTAGATTCAGATTGAATCGGATATTTTGTGAAATTCTACTTTTATTATTAATAGTATAATCTTATTTACAAAATAATTATTCATAATACTATAGATTATCTTTATATAAAATTTCATATTCTCAATTCTCTAATCATTCTTTATATAAAATCTAATATTAATCTTCCATTTTATTTTATTGATTATGTAATAATACCAAAAGTTATAACATTTATCTTAGTTAAAAGCATATCTTCAAAATTGTAATATAATATTCTTATAAAAGTTAGAATTTAAAAAAAAGCATTTTGTTAGTATTAATAATAAAAAATTAATCATTAATAATATTTAAGTAATTTCTATAAATTTATTAAGTACTAATTTAGATACTTGATAAATATGCTCTTAAATAATTCATATGAGAAGTTTGTTAGAAAAATGAAGTTTTAAGCATTTTTTATTAAAATTTTAATAAAAATTTTCAAAGCTTTATTTTTCTAATAAACCTCACATATTTTTAATATATTTTATTAATTGTTTTGTTTAAAAGAATAAAACTTTAACTTTTAAGTAGATAATTTTATTTAAATTATTATTATATATCTTAATAATTACAATAAACTCTTTTATAATAAAAAATCTTATATATAATTAGCTAATATATTTTTTAAGTATCTATGAAATGCAATTTACATAATATTTTTTTAATTTCTGTTTATTGAATGATAGTTATAAATCGAACAAATGTATAAATATTTTATATTGTGCAATATGTATATACAAAAAATTAATGTGTATATGTACATATTGTGTATAAAGATTTGAAATTATATAGTATTTTTTATAAATATACTTCTCAAATGTTACTGTTCTTCATAGCTAACTTTGTCAAAATACAGAAAAGTTCGCCATTTTTTTTATTTTTTTATTTGAAGTATATCTGCTAAATTTGGTATATTGTCAAGGCCACAAAATTTGTGTAATATAAAGATAAATAAAAATAGGTATATTTTTGTTTTTTTGGATAAAGTATTTTAGGATTTAATAAAAAAAGAAATCTAAAAAAAGATAAATTATTAGTGAATTTAAATTAAAAAAAAAAAAAATAACTTTTAGAAGCTTATAATGATTATGATATAACATCATAATAATAAATCTTTCAAATAATGAATTCAAAAAATTTTCAAATAAGCTTATCAGAATGGGTTAACTCTTTAATATATCAAAATGAAAGTTCTTGTTATATTATTTCATAATCATTTTTATTTTACAATAAAAAAATTTTTATCTATATATAAGAGTCAAATTTGAGGGGTGAGTGGAATGAGTGGAAACTCTTATTTTTTTTTTTTTTTTTTGATTAGCTTATATCAAATTTAAAATTTTGATAAAACGATCTTTTTCAATAATTTTTAGTGAGGACCGTTATATCTATTTTGTGGGGAGGAATCAAAGGAAATCCAAAATTTTAATTTTTAAGCGGTCCAATAATATAAATTTTGACCAAAATTTGAATTTCGTCCTTTTCTAATAGTCTCCTCCAACATCGCGCATATTATTTTCACGGACAGAAATAAAATTTTCAGTCGGATTGTCTTGCATGACATTACATATAATCAAGTCGTACCTGCTACATTTTGATTCGTGGCGTGTTGATGATTGATGAAAAAAGCGGCTATCAATACGAAAATAATTTCCTTTAATGATGATGATAATATTTTGTTTCGATTGTCATTAATTACATTCAAGCCAGAACTAATTCGTCATCAAACTAAACTAGTTGGGATTACGCGTCGGTTGCAACCGAATCACGTCAATAGATATATATATACATTGTGCGACAACAAGGGTCGATCATGAATAAGATAGATTTAGGCAACTTTTAAGCAACCGTGATCCTATCCTATTTATATTTTTTTAAGATTATCGGAGAATGGAGAAAATTATTTTTAAGGTCGGGTATATCATCATTTTTTGATTTGCTGCAAGGATTATTGTTCTTTTTATAAGCAAATGTCGCACGACATACAACTGTAAATGATTCCCCCTGGATAAGTTCCCGAGTGACAATGGCCTTTCAAAAGAACTCGGGGCAATTAAACTCTCGAATCAAGGGCAACACTTTGATAATCATTTGTAACATGGTTGTTTTTTTTTTTTAAAGTTTTATGTAATTTTTTTATATTATATATATAAAAATTTGGAAAAAGTAAAAAAAAGTAAATGGTAAAAATACAAAAGAAAGAGATAAAATATATATGAAAAAAAAGAAAAAGAAAAAGAAAATAAAAAAATATCCAATAAAATATAAGAAAAGAAAAAAGAAAAAAATAATAAAAATCTATATACAAATTCCATCAAAATGGAATAAGAAAAAGGTACAATCTATTTTTTTTTTTGGTAGGGTAAACTTTCTTTTTTTTTTTGGTGCAAAGTTCAAAAAGAACTCGACAATTTTTTTTTTTTTTTTTTGATGAGCTGATGATCCCCTCGATAGGTCCGGGATCAAAGAAAATGATAATACTGAAATTCCCGATAATTTAATACCGAAAATGTTCGAGGAGAGTTATTTTCTTTGTAAGGTTCTACACGAGAAAAATGGTGAAGGTTAGTTTCGTGACTTATTTAACAATAAAAAGATTTTTTTTTAAAAAAAAGAATTGATGAATCAAATATTTACCATTTATTTTCGTCTCGGAGACGGTGAACCGAGTAAGTCTATGGTTTTTTTGAATTGTATGGAATGAAACCTCATCCCAAAATTCGGCATTTTGCAGTATCAATGAACGGATACATGTTTAGCCATATCTAAAAACAAATAATCATGATGATGAAGTCAGTATACGTGATTTTCAAATGACAGATGCAAATAAAGGGTCACACAAGCAAGATGCCTACCGAAAGATCGAAAACAGGGAACCGTGAAATCGGAAGTCGGAAATATGTGACACGTGATCGCTCGAATAGAAGTTTCGTTGGGAAAAAATGTTGGCCTTCCTCGCCGGGATTTTATTCAAGAATTTTAAAAAAGTCCGTTTGAAAAAAAGACTCAAATGATACCACCGACTCCAACAGAATTAACGCCTTAAAAAACATTATTCGCACGTGGACATGTCATAACAATATGATGATGTTTATGAAAAAAAACGATATGTAAAAAAAAAAAAATCGTCAAAAATTATTAACCAATTCAAGTTCATTCCACGATATAGGGATGAATGAATTGCGTTGAAAAACGTATTTAAATAAAAGGTAAAAAATAACGAAGTTTCGTAAAGAACGGTAATTGAGGAGAAGAGGGGAATGGTACGTGTGCTGTTTCTGAGTCAAGACGAAAACGTAAAGAAGAAGAGATAAAAAAAGGTAAAAATAAAAAATAAAAAATAAAAACTTCGGAATCGTGATATAAAGTTCGTTACATAGTGCCGAATTTAATAAAAAGAAAACGTAAGTAATTCATAAGAGGCGAAACTGTATATTGAAAAAAAAAAAAGTATAATTCTTGTGTGTGTGTGTGTGTATACTCTGTACAGTTTTTTTTTTCCTTTAATTTTTTTCAAATTTTTTTCTCTGAATTCAAGGAAGTGAAAAAAAAAAAAAATATAAGATAAAAAAAAGACGAATAGTATATAAGTAAGAGAAAAGGAAAAATAAAAATAAAAAAAAAGAGAGTTTTCGCAATGACTCAGAAACCACACACGGTGGTAAAGTAAGTTAACGATTCATTAAAGGAGAATAATTCCCGTGTTAATTGGGAATCCCTGTTTTATTTATTTGGATGAGGAGTTGTTTAGAAATCCTGAAGAAATCTTTGTGTCAAAAAAATCATCTCGCTTTATATAATGTCAAAAAAAAAATCGTCGCACGAGAAAATTTCGGTATCAGCCAAATCTATGAGGGCGATTGACAAGAAAATCGTATTAATTTGTGCTCATTTTAATCGATCATAATTGATAAAATTTTTTAATTATTGTTGTCACTTTGAAACAAAAAAAAAGCGCACACACAGCATCAGTTTTGTAACATCAAAAACAAGATAATAAACAAATTGGGGTAGATATTGTAAAATAACTGTCAACTTCTGTCAAATAATAATGGAATAAGCTTCGGATATGCTTATTTTGTTTTACATTAAAATCATAATATTTATGGAATCATTTTTTTATTTTATTTTATTTTAATGTGTGTCCAAGCGTTTATATTTTGAAGATGTCAAAAAATGTAAAGAGACAATCACATTTCAAAAACTTATTATATTGATATTTTTTTTTTTTTTTTTTAAAAAAAAAAACCCCTCAATTCTATCTAACCTTTTGATAAACAATAGGAATCATTGTTCTTCAAGTGTTTCTCCACACAAAAAGTTTGGAGACGTCATGTGCAGTGTAAAAACTTCCCAAATTGTTAAGTTTTTGCATGCGGGGTAGAATGACACCTTGATGATTGGTCATAATGGATTTACGCGGAACTCGATTTGATTGATTGCAGGTTTATTATGCTTTCCAACTTTTGTTCTTTCATATGTTGTGACATTTTTGTTTCTGCGAAAATAGTTTAATTAAAATGTAAGACGGAAAGATGAATTATATCACCGACGTTTATCAAAAAACATTGCCGTCATTTACTCGGTGATAATTTATTCATTCAATGACGTTTCCAATCCGTTAACATATTAAGATAAAAAAAAAAACTAAAAAAAAAAGTGTAAAAAAAAAAATAAACAAAAAGAAAAGAAAAACAAGAGAATGTCGATGAAACCTAACAAACTTTTACGCACAGCTCACGTTTTGAGCATTATCTACCCGTCCCATTCCGAATTTTTCCTTTTCTAATGGTCCATCACCTACCTCCGCACGAATAGATGTAAAGGATCCTTTAAAAGTATAAATAAATTTCTTAAAAGAATTTTATATTTGTATGCTGTATTATACGCCAATGATCTGAATTGACAAGGATAAGCGTGACCAAGGCCATCTGTGTTAAAATAAATTCTTTATCCCTTAATATCAAGTTACATCTAATGTATCATGAAATGTTGTGACTGCCCAAAGAGTAATTTGAATTAACACATTTTTATCCCCTTGCTCCATTTTTAGAGGTATCTTGTTTATAAAGTTTATACCTTGATAACGAATTCCATTCCAATCACGTACATGTGAAGAGATTCTTATCTTTCCAAAAAAAATAAAAATAAATAAATAAAGGAAACATTATTGTTTCATTGTTAAAGAATTTCCTCAAATAACTGAACACTTATTTAACACGAGAAAATTAAACAATGGTTACTTCTGCATCCCTTGTAACATTAAATCTGTCTTCATTACAAAGAATTGATACCTCGACATCTCTGATATGCAAATCATCAAAAACACGCATTTGAATTAATCTTAAAACGCCACAAATAACAATACCTATAATTCTCTTTCCGAATAAACTAGAATTAATTTGACAGCAAATTTGACATCTTCAACGTCTTCCAATGCATTTCTCATTTTACCAAAGAATCCATTACAAGAATCTAATTCTCTTATCTTTTTTTTTTTTTTTTTTTTTTTTTTCTCAATTTTTTTTTTGACAGGTTCAAATGAAAAAACGTATTATCCATTATGATTTTGTTTTGACGGATTTGGAAGGTGTGACAAAGTGGTCTAATGCAAACAAATATAATTTAAGCAAATATTTGTAACACTTTAAAATTTTGACATACTGAAAAAATCCAAAAAAAAAAATAGAAACCCCAACAGTCAACTTCAATAAAACTCAAAAAAAAAAAAAAAAGATAAAAAAAAAGATATTCACTACACCAAGAAATTAAATTTTCATTTTTTTTTTTTTTTTTTTGCATGTGAAATTTTAATTTATTTGTGTTGTGAAGATTTATGCCTCAAAGTTACAAAGGTTGTCGCCGAACAAGAGAATTTAAACTTTAAAAAAAATTAGGAAATTTACAAACCAAATATGTGAGATGATAACCCTGATATAATTCTTCTTTTGTTTTAAACGTGATAAAGAAACCGGGATCGCACAAGATACAACAATGTTACCAAATCAAGGGTTTTCCCTTTTCCGATCAATGGGTATTCACCATAAATAAAAATAAAATGGTGTGAACGTTATTGTAAATATTTATATATCTTTCTAATATAAATTATATGTGTTAAAAGTGCACAGACAATATTTATAAAATAAATAAAAACTTTAAAGATAAATTATGACGGAATTCAAAGAAATATAGATTTCGTTTATGTAAAAGAAGGATTTGAATAAGACACAAGATCTTAAAAAGAATGGGCTAAATCTCATGTGAATATCTATTGATTGATATAAATCGTTTTGTTTATTACATAAAATGTTTTTAGCCAACATCAATAAGTCCTTTTGCTCTTCTATTATTTATTTATACACACTTTTATTTTTGACCGAGAAATTCGCCGATCGGTAAATATTAATACAACAGCAAAATGATTGGTCACACCACACCTCACATATACGACGTATACGACACCGCTGACCGCTGCGGCAACTTACAAAAAAACGCTAACCAACACAAACAGCCACCATCGCTCAGATATATGACGTAGTACAATCACCCCTATGACAAAATTATCCACCTCCCTAATCTTCTCCATAGTGCAACCATTATTCATTACGATGCAGCAATGGAAAATGCCGAACACCGCTCTGTTTTTCGGCGTTTTGAAAAACTGTGGGAATTTCAATCGTTCAAGAAATCAAAATGAAGAAAAATTGATCAATTTTGTTGTTTCAAAATGATTCTTTTCAATGGTTTGACGTGATACATCCTGGTGCTTCCTCCCACATTTTTAATATTTCTTTTTATAGGAATAAATGTTGTTGTATAAAATAAACTGTTGGAAGCAAATAATTACCATATCAATAGATAGTTTTATTGAAAATCTTTCATTAGGCACGCAGCAACATAATTAGAATCATTCTCTTTGTTTTCACAAAAAAGATTATCAATTTCTGGCGTAAATTATTTACGAATACAGAATTGGTGCATGTAATTGGCCCATAATTTTTCCTTTCTACTTGGAACGTATTGTAATAAGAATAATAAAGAAATGGTTAACAAATTGATTAAAGAATGCTTTTATTTCAACGATTGTTCCAATCCTTTGTTTTCGATATTGTGTCAGACCTTCTAATAAATTATTACTGTAATACTATGTCTGGCAAGCCATGGCGTGAGTGCTAAACAACGACTCTATCTTGATTAGAACCAAATTTCTGTTTCAAGAATTCAACTTCACGTTTTAAAACTCTCTCTTGTGAATCAACCTTATTAATAATCTCATCTACGATAATTTTATTCTCAGGCATTAATTCATTATAGTTGATGGTTTGGCCTACTATATTCATTTGATCTAATATGGTCCCAAGTTGATTCGGTAACCACGTTACGATAGGTGAGCCACTATTAACGCCAAATGGTATGATATCGTTAGGAGAACGTGTGAGAACTGTTAAAGCAACTTTAATTAACAAGCGTGAATTATTTTGTTAGACCTTACCCCGTCGCAACCGGATGTGTGGTGTTTTTTATTATGTATTCTTTCGCAAAGTTCCAATGTCTATGACGAAACGCTCGTATTTGATCCATATTTGCCAGATATAACGCTGAAATATTTTGTAAATGATGGCGTTTAGTTTGTCCAAATAACATTCTTAAAAAAAATAAAATAAAATAAAATAAAAAGTTACCAGTGCTATTTGCATCCTAAAATTTATTCGACCAAAAAAAAAAAAAAAGGAATTAATTTAAATTTATCAAGAATCGTAAAAATCAATCGTGAATAATTAAAGTTAATTACGTGAATAGCAAACCCTCGAACGTTTACTTCTTCAGCCTTTCTTTGCACAAAATCCAAAAATTCCTTATGATTCGTAGGTCGATATTTTCTAAAATCTTTTAACACTTCAGTTAAAGGATTGTTTGGTAATTTCGAAGTTATTTGCAAAAGATTGTCCATACACGGAATCATCGAATCATTTGCTCCGGATTCTCCTATTAAATAAATTATATAGTATGTGAAATGTTGTGCACTTGTATCAAGAGAATAAAATGGAAATTAAATAAACTAAAGGAAGTATTGAATACCTCGATAGAATAATGGTTTTTCACTCACACCTTCATAAACCACACCTAACGACCGAGAAATAATGTGATCAGCCAATCAAACCTGATTAAAGAATTACATATTTTTTTTCCTTACCATTTGGAAACATTGGTTGGTTTTTAGAACCCATGATAAATGTGCGAAATTTCAAATAATCCATCGAATTTGAACGTTCCCACATTGAGTCCATCTCTTGGTTAATTAAAGTCATGGTATCATTCAAATGCTTTAACGCATTATTAAATTTAACACGATCCTATATAATGAACATTATGTATTAATTTAATGAAATGAAGGGGATTTTTCCTTATATAATCAAATATATACTTGTTCTTGAGTAGCATCAAGTATTTCCGTTGCATGTTTCACCAAATTTCCTGAATGTGCTACCATAGCAACGTGCACTAAGATGAATCCATGTTCTGATGGTGTTCCAGCAAATGCACGGACTAGCTTTAAATTTGGATAGATTATCGGTTTCGACGGATCAATTCTTTGATAGTTATACAAACTAACATTTCACCAAATAAATAAATTAAAATATTTTCATTAGAAGTGCAGGAAAATCACGTGGTATACCTGTAAGAGAGTGCATATTCCATAAATGGGAAGGTGTGTAGTTTCTCTGCGATCGTTGTTAAAGGGATCGCAATATTTTTTGGTAAAACGCTACGTCCGAGGCCATAATCTTTCTTTTCTCTATACATAATATCACATGGTTCAAGGAGGTATGCCGAGGTCAAGAATGTATAATCTCTAAACAAAGCTGGTACCGCAGTTTATGTGAGATATAATTTGTCGATTTTTTATTCGCTTAGACTAACCACATAAATGATGGTTCAACACTCACCAGAAAGTAACCTCTGATCATAAATATCAGAAACGTCGTACTGCGGCAAATCTTTTACAGCTTCACCTAATTGACCTTTTGCCAATAAGCCACCTTTACCATTTGGTAAATGAATTGGCATATTTTGTAATAAATATTCAAGGGCATAAAATCGTTCCGGTAATTTGGCAAGTGGTTCCTTAGAAATCATAAATTTGATTTTTACTAAGAAAATAACAACATCTTACTTTCAAATATACAGACAGTATTTTGGATAACCATAATTATACCTGTCTTGGTAAAAATCCATTTTTATATCCAACCATAAAAGTGGGAAGTGAAGTATCGTGTTCCATATCATCTTGTAAGATGTTAAAATCATGAGGTTGAGCGTACAACCTTGATCGAGAAGGAGCGAAAGCACCCATCAACGTAGATTTATTTCTGAAAAGGTCGAATTGTATACGATGGATTCGATGATTTCGTGAAGCATTCCTAATCATTCCTTTAAACAGTCCCTGCATATTTTTTTTTTTAAAAAAAAATCTAATTCTAGGTAAAAACGATTTTGAAAAGAAGATATTTTTTATTTTATTTTATTTTTTTTCAATCCATATCTTTGTGCTATTTATTTATATATTGTAAAAAGATTGACTAAACTAATTTTTGCTTTAATAATGATTGACTCACAAAACGTACAGCTGACCGTAATTAACCATTATTAAAATTGAATCGCAACGGAGTTCGGAAAAACCTGGCGCTGCAGCAAACTTATATTTTTTGTAAAAAAATATATAATTTTCCTGATATATTTAAGAATGGGCATCGTAGAGTAATCTATATTAAGAATAGGTTGTATTTTTTAATGTAAAGTTCAATAACGCGTAGTTTACATCAGCTGTGATAATATGGTCATGTAAATGGAGATCCGTTCACAAGGGGAAATAGAATGTTCAAAGCTATTGTTCCAAGGTTAGTCACAAGGACCTTTAACACAACATAAATTTGGGGTAAGATAGATTTTCTTCCCACGCACATACATTAAATCACAAGAGCAAAATATAAATTATGGGCAGGATATCCTTTGGTAAAATAAATAAAATGATTGAGACGATATTTAACGAAAAAATATTTACTTAATTTGAATCAAAAGTTAACTCCCGATAGTCCATAGGAGCTCCTTATTCACATGCTCGTGAGAAAATTTACAATTGGACAATCTCGTTATCGTTATGATTCGTTATTTCTTTTACATAATTATTAAACTGTAAAGCATTTGTATTATGTGATGCTCCCACATGAATAACAATCGGCTTGGAAGCTTGGAATCATATTACACTTTCTATGATTCCTTTTTAAAAAGGAGATTTTATAGATTTTATAGCTAAAATAACTCTAGATTCTTTATAATAAAGTGGAATATATTTCCAAATTTTCTAGAGATATTTTCATTTTTATAACAAATCTTCTCGAGTGATTTCGAGATTAACAGCTAATAGGGTCGAATATTTTTTGGTAAAAAAGAATAATGAACCTTGATTATAATCACTATCGAAAATTCTATTCCAAGATTTTGTGTACATTTGTTTAATATTTCAATTCAGTGAAATATAGAATATAAAAAAATATAATACAATAAAAGCTTATGTGATTATTATTTTGACATCATTTCGATCCACTTTGTTATACCCTTTTTCTTTTTATGGAAAATAAATCATCTAAATTTACGAAAAAAAAGGTTATATAAATCAAGCTCATTTGGCCATTTCTATTTTGGCCAAGATTCAAATTTATCATTTTATCTTTCCTATCCAGGCTTGGGACCTTTCTCAGTTTCCAAGAACAACATTTGATGCTTTAATTTCAAATTCACAACTAAATTTAAACATCTTTTTTGAATCGACCAAGTTGTCGTCTGAGATAGGCATTTTTTTAGGGTAAAATTTTCTACTTTTAACTACATTTAATAAATTGAATTCTATCATTATTTTTTAAACTCAATCTTGTTGTCTTTAGAATACCTTGACTATTAAGAATTAGAGAATAAAAGTTTTTCACTTATCGTATTAGCGGAACATCATTGTGCGAAAATCTACATAATGCACAGAATTAACACGACTTAATATTAAACCGTAAAAAAAGAATGTAAATAAAAAATGGATAAAGGAATACAAAAAAAGCATAAACTTTATAAAGTTAAAAAATTATTTCTGGGGAAAGATTTCGTTTAAGCCCGTTATGTACAAAACATATCATTTTTCTCGACACTTTATTTCAAAATATTAGGAGTTCGAATTTTTCACTAAATATATTACTTGTTGCAAAAGTTCTGGAGGGTTTTGATTATTCAAGTGATAACCTTGAAGATTCAAACCTCGGAATGTAAATAAGAATTAAAACAGAATAATATATTATATATTTTTTTTTTTTTTGTTCCTCCCCTTGAATATATAGGAAAGCTTTAATTAATGTGTAAAATAATCTGTACACGTGACGTTGATGCGCTAACATCATCGCATTTTTTTTTATAAAGAAAAAAAATTATATATGTTATCATTATAAATTTAAATATAGCACGTAAAAATTAATTAAATAATATATAGATGAATCTTAATATACATGAATTAAAATGTAATTTACAAATAATAAATAATGATTCTAAACTAATAAAAGAATAATAATTAATAACCCGAAGAAAAGCAAGGTCTTGAAAGAAAGAAACAAGCAGGTTGACACAAGGTGGGCAATGATACAAAGTGAGGTTATTGACAGGTGAATAAGAATACTGGAGATAGAGAGTTTATCGAAATAGAAGTCGATGTCAACGTTCTTTATTGTCCATCAAAAAGTGTATTATTGTTAATAAGGGTACAATCACCAATACTGCAAAATATCATAAATTTCGGAGGTTATTTCGGAATTCTCAATTTGCATTATTTCATATTTCACATTATAACATCTTGTTTCTTCGGCCATGTATTTTTGTACCGCCAAATGTTCTCTTGGATCATTCGTCCTGGTGAATATTATCGTTGGTTCTTGCAAGCTTTCAAATTTCAAGAAACTACTTTTAAATGTTGCTTCAAAATGTTCATGTTTATCAAAATTAAACTCCGATGATGTTGGTGAGTGAATAGGGGTATTGATCGGTGATTCAATTTGATCCGGTGTATTTATCGTTCCGGTTCCCTCCCTAATAGATGCTAATCTACGTCGTTCGGCTTCTAAAAATTGCACGGAAATGTTGGACTCCCGTACATTGAAAACTTTACATAACCATTCTCCCACGGTAACATATAACCTTTCTGCGGATGGTCTTGCAAAAGGATCCAAATCCCAACACCTTTTCATTAGATCCAAATAGCATTCAGGTATTTCTTCAATGATTTCCGGGTGTGCGCCATTAACAATATCTGTAGCTAATTCCAAATCATGAGCTCGATCACTAAATGGTTTACGCCCGAATGCCAATTCCCACATGACGGTACCGAAACTATACACGTCAGCGGCTTTGGTATACGGTTTCGCTCTTAATATTTCTGGAGCGACATAAGGTAAAACACCAAAAGCTCCACCCGTCGCATGAGGATTATCAGCTCGACGACATAGACCCAAGTCACTTATTAGTGTCATGGATGAATGTATCAAGATGTTCCCACAATGTAAATTTCGATGTACAAGATTTTTACAATGTATACGATTTAGCCCTGTCGCTATCCCGTACAAGATGTCCAATTTACGTTGCCACGTTAATCCCACCGAATTCTTACTCATGTATTTTCTCAAATCACCGTTACGAGCGTATTGCATGACAATCATGTAATTTTTTGTTTTGGGACATTGTGTTATTCCGTAACATCGAATAATATAATTCCCGCTGTTATTCTCGCAACGAAGGTGAGCCTCCAGCTAAAAAGAAAAAAAAATGATAAATTTTAAATATTTATAATAGTATATAATAGATGATACAAACATAAAAATATTTTTTTTTTTAATTTTACCTCTTCAAAGAAATCCGATGTGATATTTTCAGAGTTATCAAAACACTTTAAAGCGATCCTCCACTCACCGCAACGTACATACTGTCCAGTCTTTGTATCCATTTTTTCCCTTGGACCGTCCAACCAAATTGCATTATAAACGCTACCGAAACCACCCAAACCAATTAATTGAACATCTTTAAATCGATCAAAAGGGATCCATTCTAAATAATCAAACCGACTTTTGGCGTTTAGCTGACTTTCTAAAATGAAACAATCTACTACATCATTCCCACTTGACCACTTTTCAAATAAATCTTCGAAATTTCGATTCTCACAAGGTGGACACCATTGAGTGTAATAACCCCCCACAGCAACCGTTCCTTTACATGTTGGACAAATCTTGGAATTTCGCTTTTCTTGAATCCTCTTTGATGATTTGTTAGGAACGGGAGGTTTAATCGTAGAAGTCGAAGAAACTGAACTTTTTCTGTTACGTTCAGGTTTACTATTGACATTAGATACCCCGCTATCTCGTCGTTGACTTTCTCGACCGGATCGTGAAAGATTCCCTGTGATAATCATATTAACTAAATCCTCAGCTTCATTCGTTGTGTTACTATTATCACCCTTTCGTTTTTTCATTTCTTCTTCTTTTTGTAACTCTTGAGCAAAGTAAGCTATAGGATTCCAACCTTTATCATCTATATAACTAGCATACTTGAAAGGATCAACCATACCAAACCTTCTTGCGTCCTTAATCTTTAATCTTTCTTCAGGTTTCTTGGATGAAGTGGGTAAACTACGATACTTTTTGGAATCACGGTTTTTTAATACCGATTCAAAATTTTTCCCCAACGTATTCCTCCATGCATCCTTTTCATTTGTTTCATGCGGTTTCTGCCATTGGATTTTTAATGGACCATCCGTACCTTCTTGACAATATTCATATTGATCCTCTTCGTGCTTTTAAAAATTAAAAAATTTTCGTTGAATGGTTTCAAAAAATAAAAATAAATTAAATTTTTTTTTTATAAAAAAAAAAAATTTATTTTAATATATAAATAAATAAATAAATAAAAATATAATAAATTACCTTTCCGAACCATCGTAGAACTTTATTACGAGTCATAATAAAATTTAGAAGTAATTGATTATTTTTTTCTTTTTTAAGATTTCATGAATAGACGAAAAAAGAAAAAAAATTACTTTTCGAAAATGATTTACTTATAAATATATGGTGCTCTATTTTTTATGATGTATTTATAGGATTCACTTTTTTCTATTTTTTTTTTTTTTTTTTTTTTTTTATTACGAAATTCTGTCTATTTATACTTTGATGATTTCAAAACGCCAATGATAACATCATTTGCCTATCAAGGAAGCAAGCTTTAATTAATGGAACAGATATATAAAGGATTAGTACAAGGCTGTGCATATAAACCCTTAGATAGAAATGATGATAGAAATGGTGATAAGATAATTGTTATATAATATGTGATGTGATAAGTTTTTAGTATTTTTGTTTGAAATATTTTTTTTTTTTTTTAAACTTTATAAATTTGAAATCGTTTTGCTTATTTTGGAAACTATTATTATTAGCGTTACATGGTCATAATGTGGGTTGTTGCATTGCTTCGCAGGGATGTACCAATAATGAAACACATACTTTTTTTAGTTATTTCGTTCAGAAGTGCTGCTTCTGAAGCAGCACTGAAATCGAATTCTGCATTTTTCATATTTAATCGTTACATAATGACGATAGAAAGTTCTTTGGTCGAAAGATTTTTTAGAAAAATAAAAACCAGGATTCTAATCCGGTCACGCCACGATTTCGGTTAGACAATTTCAGACCTCTTGTGATACCAAAATAAAGAGGATAATGCACTCACTACTACCTTTTTTCGTTAGATTTCTTTCACCAAAATTATTTGATCCAAATTAATAAATTTTGAATAAATATGCTTTTTTATTTTTAATCTCTCGAGATATTTTTTTCCTCGCCTCAATTATTGTGCGTTACTGTGCGCGCAACGTGAAAAAGTGGTGACACATCCACGCCTATTTGTTTATAATACAATTTCCAAACAATATAAGATGTTACAAGTACCATTTAATCGAAACCCTCCTTTTCATTTATGCTTGAAAAATCAGCCGAATCTTTTGTCACAGACGTTGTGTAAATGTTGGGAATCAATCAGGAATCGTTTAATTTATAAAGAAAGTTGTTACACATTTTAATTTTGGAATTCGATTATTTATTATTTTTAGATTCTATGCTAACAAAAATTTGGTATCTCACAATTAAGATTATTTCGTCAAAAAAAATTTACCACATGAAAAAAATATGAAACGATTGCATGCACGCGCCTGGTGTTACATAATTTATTCTAAAAAACAATTAGCTTTTGTTGAAAATAATTACATAATGGCCTCAATGGATATTTTTTTTTTTTTAAAAAAATTCAAAGGTGATGAAATACGCCACCCTTTTTTACCTTTATTTTTTTTAATTGTTTTTATTTTAATTCATGTGAAAAATGAATTTCTTGTTCTTTTTAAAAGGATTATTTATACTTTGAAGTGGTCCAAAGAATCAATTTTTTACACATTGATTGACATAAATATCATGGTTACAAGTAATAATGCGTCGAGAGAGCACAAAAGAACCATCGAGCGAATTAGTAGTTCCTGAATCCCAAAATTTTGTGTAACTGGAATGTTGGAAAAATCTTTTTGGCATACGAAAATGCGTGCTACGCCAATCACAGGTATAACCGCAACATAAATAATTTTTTTTTTTTTTTTTGAGGTCGAATCCTAACCCGAACTTTCTTTTTTAAAAGATGATATTTTGAAAATAATGATGTACCAAAATCTTCCTGCTAATATTTGTGAATTTTATCCCCAAGGCTACAGTATTTATCATTTATTCTTTTTAATTTATATTTTTTTGTACGAAGGTTTAAATATTAAATCTTTTTTTTTAAAAAAAATTAGATTCAAATAAAAAAAGAATGAATGCATTTTTAAATTCTCTCACGATTTACCCAGAATCGCCCCAAATTTTATAAGTAAATTCAAAATAAGTAAATTTATCATGGTTTTCAAATTAGATAATTCTCTCAACTTCTTATTGAAGGGTTTACGACTTTATATAAAAAAAAAATTCCTAGATTATGCATGAGAAATCATAAAACTTTATCCGTTTAATCATGTGACCTCTCGGGGATCAGGATTTCCTATGTTACGAAAAAAGTAATAAAAATGCGGTAGGCGGCGGTTTTCTAATTTTCCAATCCCGGTCATGTTATAATGCTAGTTTTAGTTATAAATGAAAAATGAATTTGGATTGGGCAATGTGGAAATGCAACTTTGTTACTGAAGTTATCATCAAAGTTAGCGATGTACTTGAAAAAATTCCTCCTTTATCAATTCTCATATCTTTTTGAATGCGATAAAAGCCTTTTAGAATTTCGAAATATAAAAAGAATCGACGAATTATGAATGGTTTTTTTTCAAGTTGGATGGTTTTGTTCTTTATCCTCTTACTCTTCCCTACTTAAACAACTTGCGTTCATTTGTTTACAAGATCAAAATAGGATTTTTGCCAAGAATTATTTAAAAAAATTCGTCTTACCAAATTAAGATTTGAGGAATTTGAAAGAAAGGTTCTATAAATATAGAAAACCAAATAAGGGATGATAGTTACTCCACACTTTATGAAAAAGGCGATTAAACAACTAAACTTGGGATCTTTGTCTGCAAGTAAACAACCTCTCAATCGTTATACTTGTTATTTTTAAACAAATCAACAATATTACCTTAAAGTCTTGGCATTTAATTTTTTTTTTTTTACCTTTTTATATTTCTTATACACAAATATTTTTTTTTTTTACAAATCTTTTTGCGGGTCAATTATGAACATCTGGTACCAATAATACCCGGATAAAAACTTTAAAGGGTTTTTTTCCCTGACAATTAACACTATCTTAATTAAGCATAAACATATTACCGAAAAATAATGGAAGTCTAAAAATAACGTCGCCTTTATCAAAAAATGACTTGACAAGTTTTTCATATATATACCTACTTAAATTCCTTTTCAAATTAAAATCATCATCCCTAAATTCACCATCAAACCGTAACAATCCTTTTTCAAAAAAATAAATAAAAGTAAATAAAACATGAGATATAATAATAGATTTATCGTTGCTTCGATAGTAACTTTCATTCTTTTCACAACAGATCTAACATTCGCTTGCGAACAAGACTGTCGTATTGGTGTGGCTCAAGCATTTGTTGATTCATATGCTTTAGAAATTCAACCAATATTCTCCGACTTTTCACAAAAAGTAACGAAAAATCTTTATTATAACACGTCACTCAGTAAAATCACGACGGATCCTTCCTTGGTATCTAGCATTCTAAAATCAATTTATACTTCAACAAAAGATTTGGTTAATAAGACATTACCGCAAACCGTAATTTCCGAATCGCCAAGAAAGATTCACGATGCCATATTTGAAACAGAACCAAAGTTTAAAGGGGATTGCAATCATCCAAAGAGGGTGACACAACCTCCATCCGGTGTTGCTTGGACCTTCGACGATTGCAAAAACATGGATTATATTTGTGGTAATCCTCCTTCCGTTTGTCATTTTTTTGAAGATAACCGAAGTAGAAGCATTAAAGCCATTGTTGATGATGTCAAATTCCATTGTTCTAGTGGCGAATTTTACGATATGATCATGAATAATATTAAAACCGTTGCCACTCATGATGGATTAGAATCAGATAATGTAAATTACCTGTTGGAACAAACTGGCATGACAATAAAACAATACATAGACGAATTTCCCGCTACTTTTCAAATGAAATTCTGCAGCAATAACACGTGTAATAAATATGATCACAAAATCAAAGAATTACTTTTAACGTTTCCTTAGAAGGAATGTTTGGAAAAATAAAAAAGACATTAAAAGGTTTAATTTTGCAGGTTTTAATTAGACCCAAAAAAGGAAATGGGTGTGTATAGATAACTTTATTGTGTAGACGCACTTTATTATTTTTACTCAATGACAAATAAAATTAAAATATTCATGATTCTTTTATATATATTTATTTATTATTTTTACTTTTTTTTTCATCGTATTTTGAAATTTGACCGATCATAAAATCATTAAATTCGGATTATTGAATCAATACGATCAATTAACGTCAGTGCTCAAATAATTATACTTAACCATTTTGGATTTACATATCCTAATATTATGCAATAAATATATTGGTTCCTGCTTCAATTTATCAAGAATGATCCGTTTCAACTATCAGTTGACTGACTAGAAGATCTTACAAGATCGCCATTCGTTTTATTTTATTACTAACCATAATTTTTGAATCGTAATATTTTAAAGACCAAAATGTACTGAGGCGTTGATAATGAATAAGAACCAATTATTTCAGGATGTCTCTCACGTTCCATTGCAAATTGACTATAATGCAAGTTCTTAAATTAAATAATATTTGTTATAGCTTTATTATATAAATTCGGACATTATATAAAGATTAAGACCCATTATTAAAAATTATATTTTATATTTTGGAGAAATAAGCTCATTCTTTTGAAATTCCAATTACTTGAATTTTTAAAAAAACAATTACAAAATCGCGACTTCAGAACAAAATTCTGATAATTTTATTTTATTATTTTTTTTTAAAAAAAAAAAAAAGATAGCAGCATCAGGAGAATCTTTGAGTGATTGTTTTTCCATAGTAGGTATGCATGCTTTTTTCTATAATATAGTTTTTCTGGTAGGAGAGCACCGATAAACTCGAACTGAATGATGAACACTAAAAGTACAAAGATTTTGAAATCTTTAAGATCAGAGCAAGAAAATATCAAAAAAGCAAAGAAATTACCGATGATTTGACATAAATATTGTCACACCCACCGAGTATTAATCAATTAAGACTTTAAAAATAGATGTTTTTCCCTACCTTCTGAAATAATAAAAATATGTAAGTTGATAAGGTTTGTAATTAATTATCATAATCATACCCACGTAGCAATAATTTCCTACTTGAATGCAATTTCATCAACGTTATCTTTTTGATAGAACTAATATCTCCATCATTTGTATAAATTCCTCTCAACACTTGTAATGACAAACCAGATCCAATTGCCTTCTGCTCAACATGGTATGAATCTTCAGATATATAAGAATATTAAGAAGAAAACATCAGTCCATTCAGTATGTAAGTAGTAAAATAAAATAAATAATAATGAAAAAATACAAATTCAAGAAACAAACAAAGACTTACTGTTATATAAGCTTTATGATCAAGTTTTGTTATATCTTCCTTTTAATTTCCTAGGAAATGATCTAAGCATTTCTAAAACTTTTGACGCTATAGATTAGTGATACCTGACGAAATTATCTTTCTTAATATGACAAAATTGACAAAACCGAAATGACGAAACTAGTTTTTTTATTAATGATGAAATTATTTTACTTAATTGTCGAAATTATATTTAACTTGATCCAAATTTCTTGAATTAAAATACATTAAAAAATATAATAATTTTATATTTATTCATATAAAAATATTAAAGAGACGAAACTTTTGACGAAATTACAATTTTTCAAAAAAGAGTTTAGTTAGGTATCACTACTATAGATTAATAATTTTAAGTGAATTCATTTGAATCCAATGACTTTCAATATGTCTGAAAAGAGGAATTGCAATGAATACCAAGCCACTAAATTGAGTAGATTTTGTCAATTAAAAGGAGAAAAGTGTAGAGAAGCTGACTAACAAAGGAAATCTGAAAGGAAGGTATTGTTTTATATAATACTTGCTATATGAGTTTGGTAGAAAATCCTTTGAAAAGGAGTTCTAAACAGAAAAAGGTTACAGAGAAAGAAATGGTAAGTATGTTTAGTACAAAGCTTGAGCTTTCTGAAGTTATCAAAATAATGCCAAAAGTCCTATATGAAAGAGAATATATGCAGAATGAAAAACCTATTTATATGTTCGATGAAATGTAGGAATTAATGGAAGAAAGTGAACCTGCTTTGAAAGGATTTTTTGAATAACTTTATATAGCAGCCCGGTCTTTTAAACGTAACAACAAAATGATGGATTGTATGAAAAGAATCATGTTATTTATTTGTTATCTTCTTTTTTCATTTGATCTAGCTTATTATCTAGATTCAGCAGGAACAAGTAACGAAGGTTTGAACACTATGGTGAATCTTGGGATGACTACAACTTCAAGGTCGGTAGATCAGAAGAAGAAAAAAATTTCTAGTGCATATAAAGAATATGTAGAGAATGCGTTCAGTCTAAGGTTGTTAGACGAAATCAAGAGTTTAAACAGATGTCTAAATGATAAAAGTAAAACTTGGTTAAATTATATTAAAACCTTATTAAAAAATATGCGAAATTCAGAAAAAGGTAAAACTATATCAAAGCTTATAAAAATGGCGAAACTATATCAAACAGTTAGTAAAAATTTAGTGAAACTAAAGGTTTATCTGTTTTGCCAAATCCAAAATGAGTTTAGCAAGCAACCTTAGTTCAGTCACAATTCAGGAAATGCTTTTATTCTAAACGTCGATGACTATCATAATATACATATCCAACAGCGACCCAATACAAATGAAATATCTCAGGCAATGCATATAATAACAATCTTGGCAAATCCATGTCCAATGCCAGTGATATCACGTAATAGGATATTAAATCCAAAGTTTATAGATGGTGAATTAATTCAGAGGCATTTTGATGAACGGTTTATTATAAATATGAGTATTTCTTATCACGAACGCATACAAAATGACATAAAAGAATGTTCAGATGAAGATATTATAAATAGATTGATGATATATAGCTATGATGACAGAATAATAGAGAAAAAAGATAGTCAGCATATACGGAATTCTATTCTTTTTGATTTTGTTGAAAGACATTTGAAAGGAGTAGAGGATTATATGAGTACATTCCAAATTGTATATGAACAGGAACCAATGCAGGTATACCTTTTCAACTATGTGATTCCCATTGTTGCAGACTGGTCTAGTCAGTTGTTCATTTGCAAAGCTCTTACACAACGGCTTCTCATTAATAATGAAATATTCCTTAATTTATCACATTATTTTTACCCATAATGAGTCCTCTTCATGTATCTTTGAATGCTTGCGAGCTTGTCTTTTTAAAGAATTCTAATTTATTTAATAACATTTATAAAGATATATTCAGTGTGCGTAAGGACCTTGGTAAGAAGCCACGACCATGAAGAATTGACTTAATTTTATATATTATACGCATGGCATGGCTTGATATAGTTAACACTATTTACTTGAAATTTGACTGTGTATGCAAAGATATTGAATTTTTGTATCTAACATATCTTTTTAGTAATTTGGTTCCTTTAGTTCTTGACATTTATGCAGTACATCATCATAGGGCAATTGGTTAGCTTATGAAGAGACATGCATACATTATTGGAGTGACCTTTTTCTTCGTTTTGATCAGAGAAATTACAAACACGTTCCTTTAATATTCTTCTCAGATATTTTTTATTGAATGGAGATTGGGCATCTGATAATTAATTTAATTACTAATCATCTTGCTTCTTTAAGTGATTGTTCTGTTGAAATAGCTCATAGTGTTATTCGAAGACGTACAGTTAAATTTTTCACTGCTCAACAATTTTTTTCAACAACAACACAATAATTCTTTTCAACGATATTTCGTATAATCTATAAAATATTTGTATACACTAAAGCAGTTGCGCATGCTTTCTCAAAAATGTGCTATATGGATTTTAGAGTTATTTGCAAAGATATATCTAGCACAAAACCAATATCCTTTAATATTTAAATCCTCGTCTAATAGTATCAATACATATAAACTTCCTTCATTAGGTTACGAAATAACAGATTGGCATCATCCGCGAGGCTTTGTAACTTCTAGAAAACCTAACATTTTCAACTTATGTGATTTTATTTATTGTGATCATATTATTAATGACTCTTTTAATAGCAGTGTTCTAGTGTGTAAGCATAGTTATCACAGCTATTGCTTGTAAAGATGTCAATATAAGTGTTTAATATGTTTAAACTACTTATAGGATGAGGTTAAAAAGAATGTTGATGCATTGATAACAAGCTTAACGAATTTGACAAATGAACAGATTAAAACCAATACCATTAATAAAGATGATGAAAATATAGTTAAAACTGATTCAGATGATGCAACAGGCAATATGATAATAATAGCAAATCAATTAAATGATGCAAAAAATTCATTTTTAAAATTGTGAAATTTGATTTTTTGATGTTTATATAAATTTGTTATAAATTTTCTTTATTATTAAAAATCTTTATTATAATTAATATGTATAATTATTTATAATATATAAAGTAGTGGCTTCTTAAATACTTATTATAATTATTATTTTACTCTTCAAAGTAAGAGGCGAATTAAGAAATCTTAATTAATAATAAAGTTATTCTATACTAACAAATAAAGTTAAACAAATAAAATAATTTAAATGGATTTTGTAAGTATTTATGGATTTATGCAAGATTCTGGTATTTAAAGGTTCGATTTGATTGGTTAATTTATATGTGATAATACCGAAACTTTATGATTTGATTGGCTAATTATATGTGACAAAATGGAAATTTTGTGTAACCTTAACAATCTTTCCTGGAGTAGCATAATGGACATTTGCTATATCACGAGGTTATAAAATCAAATGTCGATCTTTTTTATATTGTGTAACATTCAATATCAATCAATTAAAAACTAATTTATCATTACGCAATTTTTTATTAATATGTCGTTCGCTCCTTTCTTTACATTTGGATAAAAAAAGATCAGGAAGTTCTCTGCAATAGTGAAACTTAGATGAAAGCTGAAGTTTTAAGATTTTATT